TGCACTAAAGATAAGGAATCGAGAAAGCTTAAGTCGACCAAATACCAATGGCCAATCGATCGAGACGGTACAAAGTTACTGGTGAAAAACAGGTTTCTATCGCTGATCTCAAACGACATATGAATTCAAGTAAAAAACGCCACTTCTATCGACTTCAATTATCAAATCACTCGTCTCCCTTTCTAATTCAATATCATCTTTATTAATTAGACTCGAGTCACTCCTTAAATATGCTATACTAAGAGCTCTATCTTTGAAAAACGTTTGAAAACAAACAGTTGAGATTAAGGCTGTTTGAAAGTTGGTCCAGAACTTTGTATTGACGACTATACATTAAAATTATTCTGTTCAGTTACACTCAACCTGAGTTGCTCTTAACCAATAAGCTAGAATTCGACGTTTTGCATATGCAGTAACTTTTTTCTACTGACAGACCGTTTCGTGTCACCTTATTTCTAACTGAAATATAAACATCGAAAAAGAATATTTCCACCAAAAAAAGTGGTAGATACCTCATACGCTCAACTCAAAATAAGAAAATTACTAGAATGCTTTGGCATTTGCATCGTTCATTATACTCGTTTAGCCGTGCGTTGAAAATATTACTTCAAGATTTGAAAAAACAATTGTTGATCAAATAAAGTTTTAATTGGTCGATATAATTTGCTTTGTCAAAATAGGGGAAAATGTGATTTTTGACCGGTGGATGTTGGTCTCCTTTAATCGAAGCCCACACCCACACTCAATTGCATCACTGATGCATATGGGGAGGATGATATTCAGCCGAGCAACATATATTAGCATCGTGCATATTTCAGGTCGAATGTAGCACTGCAGAATTAAATTAAATTAAATTCTTCCACCACCATAATTGTGTTCTTCTGAATTCTTCAAATAAGAGCCAAGAAAAAAAAACGAAATTTTCTATACATTGGTCTACATGTACATTTAGAGATTTTGAAGACTTTTCGTAAACCTAAGTCACTGAAGAATTACACCAATACAAAATGTTGATGCTGTCAGTCAAAATAGCAAAGAGAACTGCATCATTGGTGAAATTTTCAGAAAAATATACTGGCACAGTGAGAAAATATTCATACATCATTTTTCGGCTAGGAATAGGTTAATGTTATATTCGAACAAAATAGCCTTTCTTGGCATATGAGCTGGAACAAAAACAAATAACTAATTAGTGCATCTTGTAGTCCTTGAAAAGTGTAAACAACTGTCAATTTAGATTTAAGAAAAAAGCATTTTATCAAGTATGGATAGTCGCAGTATAGAGTCGGGTGTGTGCCTGATGGAATCATCAATTGGGCCCTCTGGAAAACTGTAATGTTGTCCGCAAGACTCCTTTTCCCATGCGAAGCAAGAGTCTGTTATTGTGTTTTAATTTTGAGTGCAAATGGAAGAGTTATATGACGACTACAAGTCGAATGAAAGCCTAAAATATGCTACTGACATTGGTAGTCGGTCAAGTTCGGTTTTTAAGATCTTTTCTCCTAATTGTTTTTCCTTTTGAATAATATACAAGACAGTGCAGTTTTTGACGGGCTTTCTGAATATGTAAGTATTTTGTTTTAGCACGGAGTGGCTGTGGCCGGCAAGGTCGCTGATACTTCTTGATGAAAAAGTCCAATGACAGCATGACACATCATTGTCATGATCCTCGCCAATCTCAGAGTATGCTTGAGAATTCGAGTAAGAGACTATCTTTAGAAGTATTGCACGATGTGAACAAACCCCATGTTGCAGAGAAAATCGTAAAATAAGAGACATCTGTAAAAAACGAAAAAGGAATCAATTTGTTCAACAGTAAGAACTCGAGTATGACACATTGTGACTTCTCGCTTTTTTCAGAACAGAGTCAAAAGAGACAAAGGCTGAAACATTGAATTTAGAAGTTTTACACCATGGACTTGCTTTCACAAGTCTAAATCGAAAATCGAATACCGGGCTCCGAACAGTCCCATAGTCTATAAGTTGGTGTTCTGGTGAACCTTCTCTTTAGACAACGTTATTCCACCCCGTGCTGGAACATCTTCTATTAGAAATCGTCACAGCCTGATATTGAGAAGAAAAGAGAAACAATAGAAACAAGGCACTAGTCAAGATAGGTGACTTTTTTCTTTAAACAGAAGTCTATAACACGAGCAATGTACTATGATTAATGTACATAAAGAAAAAGTCAAGAAAATGTTCATCAAAAGAAGTCGTCATTCAGTGGACAGAATGTTTGTTCTTGTGGTAATCGCTCTTGGCACCATGCTCGTGTTCCTTGATTTTAGCTTTGCCAGCATCGAGTGCTGCATCGACGCGTTCATCCGGCTTCACGGCTGGATCTCTGGCTTTCTTGACTTTTTCTTGTACCTTATTGGCTTCCACTGTCTCCTTGACTTTTTCAATACCAGCTTTGATTGGTTCCATCGCTCGATTTCTATAAAGAAAAAAGAAAAAATTCTGATTGCTTCCGAGACATGAATAGAAAGATTCTACTTACTTAGCTAATGGTTAGAGTAGTAACAGTAGTTGTTTGAAATGAATGTGAATGTACACTGGCGATAGAACTTGCCCTTATATATCGTGCTCGGAAGGAAAGAACATTTTTTCTTTTCTTTTTTTTCTCTCTCTTTTCTTCATTTTGCTCTAGTTGCGTTTAGTCATCCTCGCTATCGCTCCTTTTTACGCAGTATAGAAAGCAAGAGAACGAGGATCATCAAGCGCAAAAATATACGGAATACTTGAGTACGTTATGCTCTTTGTGAGTAAAGTCCACTTTCAAAAATTGAAGACGAGAAAAAAAATGAGTGCGTCTTCGATAGATATTGTTCAGTGTGATACTGAAGAATGGGATGCCAAGCAATCACCTCTTTACTTTCACTAATAAATGCCAAGTCATCCAAGAGGCGGAGAGAATATGAGTCAAACGTATGTTGTATTGTTGAATTTAGCGGTACTACTTTATTTTTATTCTTTTTATAAAGAATACATATAAATAAAATCTATATCTTTATGCAATATACATAAAGAAATTCTTTATTTTTGAAAAATAGAGATAAAATAAATAATTAAGAGGTTTTTTTCTATGAGTATATAATTTTTAATTTTTTTACGAAGTAGCTCACAAAGAATGATGATACTATAGATACAAATAAAATGTACAACAAAGTGTTTGCATGTGTTTTCCCTTCATCAGCTTTGTTTTTTAATAAGATCCTATATTGAAGTGATGCCACTTATCTGAAAGACTATTGATTAACATATCTTTTGGTATTCTAGGCATTTGCCTGTTCACCTATCACAAGAAAAAGTCTTTCTTTATTCTGTATTATCTTTATTTTATAAATATAAAGATTGTATTTATATTTATTTTATAAAGTTACGATAAACTAACACCCCTAGTTGAATTTGCTTTTACTTGGAGTTAATGAATACATTTGAAAGAACACATGTTTAAAACAATCAAATCTCATTAGACATTTCATTTCACTCTTTCCTTTGAATACAGACTAATTTTTTCAAACCGAAAGACATGTTCATCATCCAATTCTACAGCAGTTCCATCAAACTACTTTTGCAAAGCATCTGTAAAATAAAATTGAAAAGCCTTCAATAGTTTGATTCAGTTCGTGAATGCCTGCCTTTGAAGTAGTTCCATTACGATCGTATGCATTAAAAAGAGATGATTACAGTCTAAATTATGAAATAAATGATTGAGCAGTTTTCCTTATTTTCTGTTTTGATAATGACTAGAAAACCAAATATGAAGTTTAATTAGAAAACACACACATCAAGTGAATGATGAACAATTGCGTAGCCAGATTCTAAAAACAATACGAGAACATTTTCAAGGTAAATTTGTTTCACAACTGTTGGCAATCCAGCTTATGTTTCAATAAGATCTTTTGACTTTTCTATGTCTGTCAGCTCGCCTTCCATTTGCTCATTTACTTTTCGGAGAACTTTCTTATTATAATTGCCAAGGCACATTGCCCAGGATATATGATCATTGACTTGTAATCGGTAGATAATCGTTTTTAACTCAGACGTCGGATATCGTTGAGTTTCTTCATCCGTCAGCAATAGAATTGTTTGTCGAAAAAAATTGCGCGTTGGATCTTTGTTAATTTCGTTCAGTGTTCTGATGAGCATACCATATGCAACTGAAAATTGACTACCTTGACCACAGGTCGAGATCGGCATATTGAGTTAATCCATATAAATTCGACTCAATTTTTCTGATTATAAACTCGTGTCGCTTTACCACCGAAAACAACAATTATCATTTGATCAGTGTGACATGCGTTTTCAATTCGAATGCGAATAAATCCATTGGTAGCTTTGAAAAAACGCTCCCATGGACACAAATCTGCTTGATTACTTATACACTGTGGGTAGCGTGTCATGATTGTGGCTGATGGATTGGAAATAGTCGTCGGTATAATGTGAGCAGAGCCTTTTTTCGTATCTCGTATTTCTTCCAGACTTGATGTATAAAATGTTTTGTGTCAGGCTTCACATAGTTTGGCAGAAGTTCAGATCAGATGAGACTGCTGTGCTAGCATTTTTGCACAACGTGTAAAGTTCTGATTGTTGCATCATCTCATCATTTCCTGTTCCCTAATCATCTAGGAGAAGTTCGGCTAGTCGATATTTGCATGTTGCTGCGAACGCAAGCACCATATGATATTTTGTTTTCTTTCCAAAAAAAAATTTGAAACTACTCGAATCTTTTTTTCTAGTGGAAAAAATGTCGATCTCCTCAGTTACACAAGACTGTCACAATGAACAAAGCGCTGAATTTCAGCTTAAATGATATAAAACGAATGTCTGAGAAACTGAAAATTATACTGCAACTTTATTCTCGTTTCTTAGTTGTATTTTCTTGCATTAAAAATGTACATTGACGACCACTTTGAAATTCAAATTAAAAATTTATATTGCAAGGATAGAGTTGACAATAACGAAAATAGGTTTATAGGAATTCATCTTTGATGTTTTTAGTACTTGTGGCCCTGGTAACTGCAATTTGAGGGTTGAGTAGAACCACCACCGACACGTCCGTCCCTATTCAGATCCATATGTGTAACGTTTTCGAGTTGATTCATCAAGCCTCCACCACTGGATTGATGTGCATTTGGAGCACATTCAACCCCGCCATACTGATTTGGATTTGAGGGATGAACAGATCTACCACCAACAGTTCCGTCACCATTGAGATCCATATGTGTAATACTTTCGGCTTGATTAATAAAGCCCCCACCTCCTTGGCCTTGTGAACGGTAACCACCAGAAGCTCCATGACCACTACCTATTTCAAAATTAAAATGAAGTTTTCATGGAATATATATATGCTAGAACTAACTGCTACCCGAACCTATCATGCCATCTCCATTCAAATCCATACCCAATTTATTTTCAACTTGTTTGCTGATAAAATCTATTTAAAAACACACGAATAAATGATTCATTCACAACGGAGAGTCGAAACAACTATTGAAGCTTTTTTTGAGTTGTTTTATTTTGAGTCATAGACTCTCCTTAACCTGTTCTCATTGAAATTTCTGATATTATTTTTCAAGTTCATGCAATAAATTTGATGTCGTAGCTTTAAGCTTCTTTACCAAACATTGAGATATATAAAAGCGATAGATTTCGTTTTATATTTCAGGTGCACTTCTCAGGTGGTTATCGTAATGGATGATAATGGTAAAGATCTTGGCGTAAATATATTCTACAAAGCATCCTATTAGCTCACAGAGATCATCCTAGAGGCATATGGCCAGTAAGATGCGATATGAACTTACTCATTATTTGTCGCTGATGTGTTTGATCGAAAGCGAACTAGATAGAAAAGACTTTGAAATAATGAATACAAACGGCTCTTTGTTGTGTTATTTATACGCTTTTCTCTTATAGTGGTGACGAAATAGGTGACAAAGTGCATAAATCTTCTCCCTGCACAGATTTTGTTTCTTTCTTTTTCTTTTCCTTCTGAATCAATAACATCTAATACGATGAAAAGGGTACTGATGCTCGAATTACCATTCAATATTATTTTTCTCTTTTTCTACGTCGTCATTCGAGTACGCTCTCTCTTCACCTTGTTTTCTGTCGCGTCCTCGTCAGTGTATTTGCCTTCAAGGAAAGCCGTCACATATAAGCGGATGTGTAGGAACTCAAATGTACTTGACGGATAACATAGTACAGAATCATAACACTGTCAACTAGCAGTCTCAATTTGAATAATCTGTTCAATATTTGTTTAGTGACGCATGTTGGAACTGCCATTTGTGTCAAAAAAATTCAGTTGTTGAAGATAAGAAAAGAATCGCGTCCTTCTTCTCGAATTACTAACAAATTTGAACATGTTCAGCTAGCACTAACACAATTTACAATATTGTGATAAAGTGGATCCTTTCATCGTTTAGATTTCGAGAAAATGAATAACTTCAAGGTACCGTTTTCATCCAGTCGAAAATTTCAACAAGGTAAAATGACAATAATTGCCGTGAATAAGCGATGTTCTCCGTACGAACGCGCAATTACTGTAGTGCTGTTTTGATCTGCAACTTTATTAATGCTACAATGATGAATTTACATGAATCATTAATCAAATTTGATCTGAGTCTAGATTTCTGGCATGCGTGTCAATCTTTGTTTCCTTACAACTCTCATTTGAGTCTTTATTTACACGTAAAACCAATAAGAGAACAGGGAAGAATTAAACTACAAAATCGACTCGCAAGAACACGCATTCTATACAAACATAAGAATATTCATTCCTGCACACACTCCTTTTACGCATAATTCCATACGCGCCCCAGTGAACATCATAGTATATAGGTAACATGAAACTCATCTCGGAAAAGGTAATAAACTTTAGTCGTTAAAGGCATGGCCCAAATCTGTGATCTTCCTTTACCGCAACCAAGGTCGTAGAGCTGGTCTTTTTGGTATTCCGAGCGCCCGTTCAAAATTTTCGTCTTGATTTCATCTTTAATCGTGTATTGGGCGTGGTTGTAGATCTTCTCTTCAATAACAACCAAACCCACACCTCCCACAATAGGATTCTTCGTCTTACTGTCTTTGTTATTCACAGAACAAGGTAATTATTCAGTCGTTGGTCAAGAAGACAACATTGTTAATTTTTTCATTTTTTTTGTTATTGCATACATGAGTTAAATATCAACAAAATATGTCTGATTCTATTTCAACAATAAAGGTTTTTTTGTGGGTAGTAGGCGAAGTCTGCTGACAATTGCTTTCCTGATTTTAGGATCGAGTTGAATGTTGTGCTCTCGATAAGAATACAGAATGTCTTGAAATGGTTATCAATTCTCTTAATTTTCTTTTTTTGTCATGCTTCGTTTTAAATAGAACGATGAACACGAATTGTGATTCTCAGTGCATTGTTTTTTTCTATTTTTCTATTGTCTATAATATTATATACTTAGGATTGGTTAAAATATTTTTCTCTATCTTTCATGTAATAGTAAACATATTTACACCTAGATAATCTCGCTTTGTATACTGATGTCTTTGGGATTTTTTCTTTGAGTCTTTTCTATGTATATCTCTGGCCATATTTGACTTCAGATCCTCTGCAGTTATAAACGCCGCCAGATGCAAAGATGAAAGCACTTTGTCTGGAGACGCGTTTTATAACTAATCTGAACTTATTTGGATCCGTTTATTCTAAAAAGGCTCGTTCAAATTTACACAGACGATACAAAAAGCGTTTTGAAAAATTACAATAGATGCATTTCAGTACGTTTTTAGTTTATTATACCCTTACCTCACTGGTGTAGGGTGAAGACCAAAAACACTAGATACAAAAACGAAAAAAAAAGGAGAAAGAAGAGTTTGTGTTCACACAAAAGTATGAATAGTTGTTCGGTTGATTTCGTGATTGATCGTCGTAGAGTCGCAGAACCAGGTGCCGTTTTCCAAATACAACCTCCAGACCTTGCGAGCCTGGTTTGAGTTATATTCATCATGAGGTGCGAGGTAAACTGATTCAGCTTTTTCATCTTGCATCATTTCGTCAAAATTCCATTTTTTTGCACCATTCCTTTGCACACGACTTGACATGTCCAGTAATATCTTGAGCCTTAAACATTCCCCTTGAACACTTTGGATTCGAACATGTATATGTACCATCGAGATTCTTGAGACCTTGCTTGGCTAGGATGTCAGTGACCTTAGGAGGAGGAGGTGCGTTTGTTGTAGCTCGTCGTTGTTGTGACTTTTGTTTGTATTGTTGTACGACTTCCAGGATATTTGAGGAAGGTACGTTTGAGTGAACATATTTGTTGATTGTATCTCGCCATTTCTTACGATTGAGTGTTTCTCGTCGCCAATTCCGAATATCGAAATTATCTACGTCTTCACTAATCTTATCTTGCCATTGTTTTCGGTTACCGAAGTTTCGTGGTTTGACCGATTGAGGAAAGTAGGCAAACATGGCTTTCTTGACCATTAATGATTCGTGGCCCTCTGTTTGCATCCTATTTGCATGCCCAAACCAACGAAGACGATTTCTGCTGAGAATATCGCTTACATGTGGTTGTCCAGTGAGCTGTAACAGTTGTTCGGTTGGCATACGATCATCCAAACTAACTCCAATTAAAGTTCTCAGGCATCTGAGGTAGAAGGTATTGAGACGTTGTTCTTGTGCTGCAGTTGTTGACCATACTTCACTGCCATACAGGAGAACCGGGAGGACGCAAGCTCGAAAGATACGTAGTTTGGCTTGAATTGAAACGGTTTTTCTACACCAGATAACATGCCGTAGCATATTGAATGCTGTTGAGGCTTTGGCAAGACGAGTTTCAAGTTCTTTCTCGATCTATTGATCTCTTGTTACGTAACATCCGAGGTAACGAAATTCGCTGACAGTTTCAATTGTTTCGTTTCGAATGGTTATTGTCAGGTTTGGATTGTCAACTTCTTGGCCTTTGATGACTTTGTTTGTTGTAAGATCTTGTTGTAGTTGCTTAAGGGACATGATGCATGTCTTTTTCACACTCATTGTAAGTCCGAATTCTTGTGTCACTTGTTCGAAACATTGGATGGAGAGTTCGAGATCAGTGGCACTGTCACACATCATGACTAGATCATCAGCATATAGCAAGAGGAAAACATCAAAATCTTCATAGTTAGCATTTGCAGAATGAAAGAAATCATTACTACCATAAGCCATTTTGATTCTAGTTATACCAAGGAGTTTCACTTGTTCAATGACACGACGCATGATGAAGTCGAATAAGACGTTGAAGAGGATACATGAGGGAATGCCACCTTGTTGAACGCCAGAATTGATGTCGAATGAATCGGAAAGCTCTCCATTTATCCGAACCTGTGCTTTGGTGTCTTTGTAAAGAAGTTGGAGCATTCGAACAATCTTGTCACTAAGACCGTAATGGCGACATATTTGCCAAAGAAGAGCACGATCGATGGAATCATAAGCCTTCATAATGTCGATGAAGCACATATGAAGAGGCTTGTTGTTGTTGCGAGATTTCTCCATTATCATTTTGAGAATGAATATCTGGTCGATTGTTGAACGGTTTGATCGAAAGCCAGCTTGTTCTTCTAGTAGTTGTTTGTCTAGAAGG